ATTTTTTTTAATTTCAATATTAATAACATTTTGAAAATAATTTTTTTATCGTTTTTTTAACCATGGGGGGTTGGCGAGTGGAGCGAGCAGGGGGGCGGAGCCCCCCTAGTAATATAATATAATGTATAAAATACTATATATTAGAGTATAAGGATATCAGGTTTACACAGTCCGGTCTAACTGACTGAGAAGTATTTATACTTTGAGTTTTTAGTGTCTAAAACACCTTTTCAATCAATAAACAATTCAACTCAATTGGTTTGCTGTGTAAGTTTTGAAGAGCGCATCAATTTCAGTTAAAATTTTTGCATTTATCAACTAATATTTATATTAAATCATGTAAAAATGTTTTCATTCATCAAACTTACTGTTCTTTCTCTGTCATCTATTTCTGACACTCATCTGGAGTGAATCTGAATCCAGATGAGTCAGGAATAGGTGAAGGGAAGGGATTTATGAGTTATACAAATAAAAACATTTCCATATAATTTACATCAATATTTATTGTTTGGTACGTTAATTTTAGCTCAAATTGGTATGCTCTTCAAAACTTACACAGCAAACCAATTGAGTTCAATTGTTTATTGTTTGCAGAAGTGTTTAGAATGCATAAAATTTCACGTACAAATATTTTTGAGAGAGTTGGACTTGACCGTATAAGGCCTGATACCAATAAGTGGTATTTTTTAGCATTATATTATATTTAATACTTTTTTCTGCTCTATAACTCTTTCCAGGGCCCATTGGAATAAAGTAACCATAGAGGGCTTTATTATTGTGTACAAGAAGACCCCTAAACAAGTTTGGTAAGGATCTGTGACCCAAAGATGAAAGGCTCTCCTTGTGAGTGAACATTCGATTAACGATAAAAACAGCACATCGGCTCGAGTCAAGGTATCAGAATTGGGTCTTGAATGCTGGGTTTATGTTCATTAAATCGAAATTTCGGCAGCCGGAATTCGGTTTAATGAGTTAACATTTTCAAAAAAGGTAGATGAGTGTTATCTTAAACACTCAATTATTCGTTGACGTTAAAAATTTCTGATACATTATTAAATTACGGCTTGCCGTCTTTTATTGCAAAATAACAGTTTAAAAATCATTGACATATGCATAGAAAATGTAAAGACAATTCTATAACCCGTTAGAGGTTTGAAATGATGATATTGGGAACCTGACCACATTGTTTTTAGTTTAATATGATTAAGATATGATTTCGATAGGAAATTTTTTCAGCGTTTTGATGGTCGTATCAGATTTTCCAAAATATTCAATTTTTATGAGAAAAAATCAAAAACTAACCAAAAAGTCAATTTTTCCGTTCTGAATTTTTCGAAATATTTAGCCCTCAATGTTTGATGGCAATTTTCTCAGTAAAAATTAGATATTTCGGAAAATCTGATACAACTATCAAGAAACTGAGAAAATCTCCTATCGAATGCAGTAGTCAGTCAATTTTTTTTAGATGAGTTTTGATAATTTTTCACCCATTTAAAAATTGAGTGAATTGTCGTATTTACGCGAAAACATGCCTTTTTGGGCTCTAAAACACAAAAGTAGCAAGAAAAAAATTACCTATCTTTAAATTTCATGTTCACGCGTTTTTTAGCTTCCTAAAACTTTCAAAAACAATACCCCATATTCACAATGTGTGTCAAAAGAAATATATTTTTTTCCGTTTTTAGGCAAAAAATTTAAAATTAAATTCCGGAATCGCTCATGTAGCAAGCTAAGATCGCTCTGAATGATCGGTGGTGCAAGATGGGGACGCATGCAGCAGTGCATCTCGTTTGAGTGGAGGGGCATGCAGTGGTCTAGTCCTGTAGATAACAACAGGTTTGGACTGGACATTCGTTGGCCCGCGGGGAAGCTTCATAGTTGATCTGACCGTCGCCAGCAACACATTCTCCAGGAAAGTCTAGTCCTAGCAGTAGAGCTTTTACTGGTAGCAATCACCGGACTATAGGTCCGCTCATCAAGGAACTGACGCTCCTTGGTTGGCCGACATAGATAGAACGCCCGTACATTGGACAACAACTACTTCGCTGAGATGATCTCAGGCGTTGAGGTTCAGTCACCTTTCCCAGAAGACATGGTGAACGAACTTGAATCAAGCCTATCGAGGGCCTGCGGCACTTTCACGTCGAAAAGAGATGGCCACTGGTCCATGAGTCAGACTACTGGTCAGACTACTGGTCAGACTTCTTGTGAAACGACAGCATTGCGAATTGTCAGCAGACTTTTTTCCGAGCATGCAGCCGCGTCGATAAAGCCATTCACCGAGAGCAGTTTGCCAAGGCTCACAAGCGTCTACGTGATGTAATAAAAACCAGCAAGCGCGTGTGGTGGCAGATGCTTTGCGACGAGACAGATCACAACTTATGGAATAATCCATACCGTATGGTCATGTCCTACCTAAAGGGCCCAAGAAGTATGTCTCCAGGCGAACCGGAGCACGTGCGACCGGAGGTCTCTACACTCTGCAAAAGTTGTAGCCTCTCCGATCAATCTGCTTGAGCAAACAGAGGCCAATCTGATCCCTGAGGTTAAAATTGAGGAGCTTCGTGAGGCGTGCCAAAAGGTGCGTGATCGGGCAGCTCCTGGTCTAGATGGTATTTCAAACGTGGCTCTTAAGGCCACCTTGAGTGTATGTTCCAATACCTTTCGCCGTATTTTCCCGATCTGCCTCAGAGAGGGATGTTTCCCGGCACGCTGGAAGTGTCAAAGATTTCTCCTGATATTAAAGTCAGATAAGCCAGCCTCAGAGCCTCGTCGTACAACCCATTGTGTATGTTAGACACCGAGGGCAAAATCCTGGAAAGGATCATTGTTGGTCGTCTGGAAACTTACATTGACGGCGCTTCTGGATGAGCAAACTCATAGTCAGGTTTACGGCAAGGGCGGTCAACTATCGACGCCATACAGAAAATGCTCGACAACGCCGAAGTGGCCGTCAGCGGTAAGAGATACCACCATGGCACACCTTGCCAGCCAGCAGGTATTTGCGTCTGTCTTCGAGCTCCAACTTTACTGTATGCGACCTTTTGCCGCCGCACAGCGAGCTAATATGCTCGATGAGCTTTCAGTTGAGGCCCTGTACATTTGTTCAATAACAACTCAGTTATCGTCCTAGATTCGGAGCCTCAGTGAACTCATTCCACAAAGTGATACACAAAGTGCGATATGATGAGCTGCCGATGAGCGCACCAGTCAACCTTGAGACTATAGCTACATTGCTCGGAGCACTGAATCAGCCTCAAATGCTTCAGCAAGTTGTGCGTGTCCATGAGAGGCTGCCGTAACGTCAACCAACATATGCTAAGGCGAACTTCGTGAGGCATAGGGCACTTGTGGTACGTTACTCTTGCTCATCTTGGCGTTATGAAGCCGTATGTTATGCTTTTAAAGCGACGATTGTAGCATAGGCAGAACTCTCCAGAGATGAAGTTGCAAGTACACTGACGGTAACACTTTAACTACCTGAAAATGTGTGGCGCCGATCCTTTAGCCACTCACGTGAATCGCACTTCCTTACTCCTGTGCGGCGTGGTTTTACGAGTTATATTCGCCCATCATGGGAAGCACCACTTGCCCTGCTACGATCTATGGCCTGATTAGATGGCATGACATCACTAGCTTCTTTTGACGACGCTCATCTTACTCAGAATCACATATCCAGTGACTGTGGAGTCTACGGAGTCAGAAATAGAAGATCAAAGTCTCTCTCATCTTGATTATCGACCATTCCGCATACCGTTGACCCGCTGCCCTCCATCTCAAGTTTAGATCAAGATTTCAATCTGCCCTGAGAGACGATAAGCGTACTACTGGACATTAGCTGAGTCGATCAAAATGTGACCATGATTAACTAGACATCTGCACAGTTGTACCACACGTAGACGTTTTGCTCGACCTACATCCTTCAGTCATCACCGATATACTTTGAAATTACTACTAAAATCACCTTGTATCTTACTTAAATATTACGTAAGCCATACTTGTAATCTTTTATAATTGCCATTACTATCTTGCTACTACTATTACTATTGTTATTACTATTACTTCTATGTATATTGACATTCTCTCGAGCCCGATTGCAACTCTGAGCAATACTTTGCACAAACTCTTAACCTCACGCACTTTCACAACAACAACAAGAATTGCAAATTTCGCGGCGAAAAATTTTTACTCTGCAACTAGCTTTTGCTTCGTCAGGCCAGACACGTGCAAAAAACTTTGCACAGCAGCTTCCTCCGTCTTAGACTTGTGCGTGCCCACGTCCACGAGACGACGGCAGTCCTTCTGCAGTCGCATCTCGCCAAATTGTTATGCTGGTGTTGACAGGTGAGAGTCTGCTGGCTCGCTATGTTTATTGCGTTTTGTGCTTTTGGCCTCAGCTTTGCCGCCCCTATGATAACCAATTCGCTTCTTGATTGAACCTGAATTCATATCGAAAGATATGATTTTAGATGACGTTGGATATGTCATTATTATCTCGTGACTAACCTAACTAGGTGATACAGTGTAATTTTGCGTTTGTTTGTGTTTCACTCGGATCATGTGCAAGGGTTCCTGTACGTAGGCAGCGACTGCGTCCGACTGGATCCCAGGTCACGAAATAGACAATAACTAGACACCTAATTAACAAAATCACACCCCCACGATCATAATTAAATAATCGTTTGCACCTGCAACCTATGACAAAAGCCTTCATGCTAGAACAGTGATTTTACTTCTTCAAGGAGGTTTTCATGGTAACTGGGACATGATTTCAAATATTCCAGAATGAAAATACTTTGAAAAGTGTTAAAAAAATATTTTTCTCTTTTCAGTATAGAATTTTTTCATATTTTCTCATCAATTTTCTCATCCAACAAAATTTACGTACCTTTCCGTCTTCAATGTTTTTTCCTCTGTTTTTATCATAAAAACCGGTGATTTACTTATGTAATAAATTAATATAATAAATTTCAATCTACTAAAAAAAAACTTTTACTGACCGACATATCTCCTCCATAAAATGGATGAATAACAAATGTTTCATTTCCCAGATGTATAACACCACTCACACCATTACAAGTATGAAATGCAGCAGTAGCTCCTGGATAATCTTTTATCGTTCCATGGTAGTAGCAGTGTTCTATTTCCTGTACAATGAAAAAACGAGTTTTTTTAAAAATAACCTTATATACTTTCAATATACTTTTTATAAACAAATTTTTATATTAACTGAAATACAACCAGGTTCAAATTCATGGGGCATGAAGCCTCAGCTCTTAACTTTGTAGATAGATCGATGAGATCAGTACGATAAAAAAACTTCGTAAAATACAATGAAAAATTTTAATTTTTACTAAATGAACGAATATATATTTTTAGTGTTATCAGTATACAGGAATCCCTCCGTATTCGCAATCAACTGGGGCTGCAAGAAGACCACTAATAACAAAATCTGCAAAGAATGAGGTATTTTATTTTATCGCCGCTGCTTATGACTAATAACTAACCTTAACAAAATACCGTGAAAAAAAACACATCTCGTTGGATGCCGTGAAAAAAACACACCTGATTGAAAAGCCGCGAAAAAAACACACTTCTTCAAAGACCAAGATATTTTCGACGTGATTCGTTAAATCTTGATTCGATGAGATGTGTTTTTCATAACTGCATTTTGATGAGATGTGTTTTTCTTCACAGCATCCGACGAGGTGCATTTAGTTTCAAGGCATTTTATAAAAAGGTTTTTTTTCATAGCGTTTTTACTCCGTTTTTACTCATAAGTAATGGCCCTATCCCTAACTATATAATCATAGGGTCTGACTTTTAAAAAAAACCTAGGCGTATGAAAATATTTCCGCATACAAAAATTTTATGAAAAACTCAGTTCAATAAAAGATTGATATTTTCTCGTATAATTTGATCTATGAAATTTCCAAAAAAAATTTCGTGTCAGAAATTTCTAAAATGATCTTATAAACGAAATTGTCTGGAAGCTTTTTTGTGTAAAAAAATGCCCATATTGATTTATAACTCGCTGCGCTCGGGCCCTAAACTACGCCGTGCCAAAAAGTGTTATTTATAGCCCTTGTATCGAAATAGTAATTTTCGATACAAGTGCCATAAGTAACACTTTTTGGCACGGCGTAGTTTAGGGCCCGAGCGCAGCGAGGGTCCTAATAGCTGGGCCGAAAAGTGTCCCCTATGGCCCGAGTATCGAACAACGTTTTATAGTACTGTGCAAAGTTCACATTTATGCCCCCTTTTCCGATGCATAAGTCGCACTTTCTGGTAGCGCGAAGTGAGGTTAGCGCACGAGCGTATGCGAGTGTGATGCGAACGCAGCGGTGCCAGAATGTGCGACTTATGCCACCGAAAAGCGTGCCATAGATGTGAACTTATGCCACGCAGTGCTATAAACTACTATTATGCAACAAGTCTCCAAAATGCGTTTTTGCGCAAAGTGTATGCACGAGTATTGACTACGCCGGCACAAAAAGAGACACGAGTGACGGCTATGCCGGCACGAGTGGCTTGTTTTGAGCACATTGTGCGGAAAAAGCTGGGCACGAGTTGCATACAAAATTATATGCAATAGAATGCGAAAAGTGCATAAATGACAAGCATGAAATTTCACAAAGTACTCGAAATTTTACCGCACACCAGTGTCCAAAAACGCTTTTTGCACACTAAAAAATGTGCAAAAAAGGCATCTTACAAACAGACTTTAGTATTGAGCATCATATGTGTCAATAAATCATGGTTTTCTCGAATTTTCCTCGATTTTTGACTCATATTAAGCTCACTTTAGTATTAAGCATCATATGTGTCAAAAAGACATGGTTTTTCTCTAATTTTTCTTGATTCTTCAGAAAGAAGAGAAGTTTAGGCCATATCGTTGGATACGAACATGTTTATTTTTGTCTTTGAGACTGATTTTTAATAATTTAGGGAGTTTGAGGTTATCAATATGATTTTTGACATCGAATTTGAATTCCTCATCAAATTTTACGTGACAAATCATTAAATAACATTATTCAATAATTTTTTTCATATTTACCCTTGGGAAGTAGAATAAAATATGAAAAATCAAATCAAAAAGAGGGGGGGGGGGGACAGTTGATATAGCCCATATACGTATAAATTTCTCAAAAATCTTTTTTACAATCTAATCATTCACAAAGGTCCTTTGAAGAGTAATTTGGCAGTGCCACAAGGAATATATTCTTTTATCAAAAGAACAAAAATTTATACACATTTTTTACATTTTCCTCAGATTTGAAAAAACTCCCACGCGCAATAAGTATTCCGGTTCCGGATTTTGCCGGTTAATAAGTACCCTTCACTGAGATCAGCGAAAAGGGAACGCCACGTTGCTAAACGGCGCTATCATCGGTCCGAAGCTTGTGTCAATCCTTCGTCTCTGTTACAGCAGCTCACATTGGATCTTTCTACCGCAGCGATCGGACGCGAACGGCCATTGCCTTTGTTCATTCAAACCAGACTGGATCATCTAAAGAAAGTGGAGATATCACTGAACATTATTTATCGTATTCGTGATGGGCGTATTTACAACATAAGCAACTCTAACGGTAGAGTCCTGTGAGTACTTAAAATAACAGTATTTATTGTGTAACGTAATTATGTTTAAAACCTATTTCGCGTCCCATTTCATATCGTGAAACAATCGGTTTTTTTACATTTTCCTCGGTTCATTTTCAACTTCGTGTTTATCGCAACGGTTAATTTTTATTTAAATTATTGCTCGTTGTCTAATTGTTTAAAACTCATCGTGCTGACAGTATTGTGCACAATTTTGCCAAGAGTGAACACTTCGAAAATCAATGCCTACGAGTATGCCTTTGTCGAAATTGTACAGAGTGCCGACGCCACGAGTAAGTCTCGCGCGGTTCAGTTGTTATTGTATAAAGTTACGCTGCCTCCTTGAATTCTATAAACTCGCGCTGCTCTTTCTTTTCTTTGACGAATTCCCCAATTGCATTTTTATTTTCAGCTACTTGCGATGTAGAAATATCAGATCAGGCTGTAGAGCTACAGCGCGCGTTTATTGAAAATAGCTCTTCGAGAGGCTTTCGATGAAAGAGTGTACTTAATCGGGTACTTTTTTCACTTTTTGCGCTGCCTAAATGGAAAGATTCACCGCTTGGGCTTGTCCGATTATGTAAAAAATGATGTTGAAGCCAACAGATTTCTTCGCCAATGCAGCGCATACAAGGCATTCAGCAAGACGAAGACAATAAAAGCGAGCTTCAGCTCCCCAAGAAATTGAAGCAGAGCCCTAGCTATCCCAAGAAGCTAAAACTGTGCCTCAGATGCCCCCAGAAGTTGGAACTGAGCCTTCACAGACTGATGCTCCAAAACCAGAAAATTCTACTTTAAAAATATTCAAAGCAAAGAAACGGACCGCTGCAGCTTTGGAACATCAAGCTAAGCGAATGAAAATACGCTCAAACAATAAACAAAAGCCCATAACGGTCGGTGATTGTGTTATAGTACCTATATCAGATGTTGACAAAGCAAAATCTGATTTAAGAAATATTATTGCTATTGTCTTGGAAAAAAAAAACGGCTTATTTAAATTTGGTACCAAATATGGAATTATTAACAAGATGTATACAAGGTACATTCTACATTCTACATTCTATATTTCTATTTTACATTCCATATTTTTCCTTTTTTATTTACAATCTTCTTTTTTTTAAGATCGGAATTAGATATATGTCAGCAACAATTTTTGAATCTAACTGCAAAGAAACAATCAACTTCTGGGGGCCAAGACTTCTTCAAATGTACTAGTAAAAAAAACTGTTCTACTAGAATTTGCATTTGTAAAAAAAATAATGTTTTTTGTAACTCAAAATGCCACAATAGCACAACTTCTCGAAATAAGTAAATAATTACACAGCCACACAAAAAAAAAAATTTTCAAATCCAGCGACCACCTGGTGGACTCTTTGTTTATGGGGTCGCTGAATCCGAATCTGTCGGTTTTTCAAGGTTGGCTCATTTTAGGGGTCATTTGAAGGTCAAATAACGGGAAAGTGGTAAAAAATCTGAAAAAATTCATACATGGGTTTTTGGGGATGCTGAATCCAAATCCAAGGTCCGATGACTTTCAGGAGGTCACCTTTAAGGTCATTTGAAGGTCACAAGAATTCAGTAAAAATATCCGAAAAAATCACACTTATGTTTTGAGGGTCGCTCAATCTGAATCAGAGGTCATTTTGACTGTATCAGGTCATGTAAAGGTCATTTGAAGGTCATTTGAAGGTCAGATCACGAAAAAAGCTTAAAAAAATCTGAAAATACTCATTCATAGGTTTTTAAGGATGCTGAATTCAAATCTGAAGTCAGATGACAGATATGAAGTCACCTTCGAGGTCATTTCAATGAAAAATTAATACAAGAAAGAAAAATATTCAGAAAATATTTGTAATTTTGCATGCGGTTTTTGTCTTTTGTTTTCGTAACGCATCTATTATTCTTCAAACGATCAACGTAATGGTTGTCGTTTGGGTTTTTTGCCTCTCTTATTTTGACAGTCTCTCTCTTCAACATCCAGCAATCACCGCAAATCCTATCTACCTTGATATTGCTGCTCCATATGTTTTATGTCTTGATGGAACCATTCTCCTTGCTCGTCGCCAAAATCTCCATAGTTTTCTGGGGACTAATATGAATAGCTATACAGAGAATACAGTTTATAAAACATATTACATTCTATTTCCCCAAAATGTCATGATGAATGCTATAAATATTGAGAATCTATTTTTTCTCATAAATCCGATAAAAAATTGAAACAAGAAATATTAGATGGACCATGGTACATGGGTAAGCTTCAAAAATTTTCAAGGTAATCACAGAAGCGATGATAGAAAAATTTTAATATCAATGATGATAAAACATTTCGACAAAATGGAATGTAATATTTCTTATAAACTGTATCCCTACCTATACGTAGGTACCTATACGTACCCATACCTATACGTAGATTAGCTCCCAGAAGACTGTGGAGATTATAGCGACGGGCAAGGAAAATAGTTCCATCAAGACATAAAATATATGGAGCAGCGATATCAAGGTAGATGGGATGTTGCGATGATGGCTGATTACTGCTGAATGTAGAAAAGAAAGAGCCAACATAGAAGAACTGAACGAAAACAGCAACCTTTACGCCAATCGTTTGAAGAAAAAAAGGTGCATTACAAAAGAAAAAAGTAAAAAATCATGCAAAAAACCTTGATCTTGATAATAGAATATCTGAATTCCTCAGCTCCAAAAACCTATACACAATCTTTTTCTGTTATTTTATCGCGTTCACTTGGTAACCCTTGACATGACCTTTAAATGACCACCAATTGACCTTAAAATGGCTAGGTATAGTCAAAATGAACAATGATTGAGATTCAGCAACCCTCAAAATAAGAATCTGATTTTTTTTGATTTTTATATTGAATTCTCTATGTCCTAAAATCATAGTCATTTCAGCTTTGGCCGAGGCTGACTTTACCGAGACTTGACTGTAAAATATAAATTTGATATTACATAATTTGATATTTTACCTGTTTTGATACTTGTTCTGCATCATTTGTAAGATAATCTTTTTGTACCAAATTTGGAGCAAGTAATTGCCTGCAAATAACACAGAAGAAATTGCATGAAATAACAAGTATTTTATATATTTTACACATATTTCTACCACTACAAAATGCCATTAAAACTCCTTTTTGCTTATGTCTTGTCCGCAAGTGCGTACCTGTTATCAGTGTGGAAAATGTAACATGTTGACAGGGGATGGTCTCTCTGCGTTAAAGTGAGAAAGACGGACATATTGATGTGTGCGCGAGAATAGGTGTTGTAGACGAATTAAATAATAAACAGGATCGTAGCGTGGCAAAATTGTGACGCGAAAATATAAAGTAAATAATATGTATTGAAAGAGGGGTATTTCGTAACGCATTACTGTGGGGTAATTCATTAATGTTTGATGGAAAATAAAATCAGAGCTTCCCGCCCTTTTCTCTTACACCTTCAATCATCGCCGGCGACTGAGCTCACGGACATCTACAACTACAGAAATATATAATATGCATTCCTCAGTATAAGAGGTTGAAGGTGCAGTAGTCCCCGTCTACTCAGTACGTCACGGCAGCGGCTGTGTGTCGACGCTCATGCCTTGTAACGTCTATGCAGCGTTGTGTAACTCTGTCTCTCTCGCGCGCGCTGTGCGTATTTGTGCGAGTTGCTCGGTCAAACAAAAACGCATGTAATATGACCTATGCTTCGTGCAGACAACAAAATTTGACTGGTTTTGTTCTATTAAATCGAATTTCTTATCACAAAATGTTATTCGGGAATCACTAGCATAGCTGGAGCTATGATACAAATAAAGCCGAGTAATTTGGCAACTGCACTTGAAACCGATTTTAATCGGTTCAAACCCAAGGTATGCATCAGTTAAAAGCCCAGGTTATTACCAGACTCGAATGCGTTATAAAAAAAAAAATTTTAAATGAGTGAGCGTAGGAGAACACCAGGGACAATGCTGATCTTCAAGCCAACGACCACGTCGGGGACAATTAAAAAAAGCAATTGAAATAAGCAGCTTGTACATACCATATTACTTGATTTTATTTGTATCGTAGCTCCGCGGCTATGCCAGTGATACCCTGAATAACATGGCTACTGTGGAGTAGGGTGTCCCTTAGTTCCCGAATTTCAGAAAATCGATTTCCCTGGACTTTTTTCGTTAGGTAACCATGAAAAAATAAGTTTCCAATAGTTTTGGGATTTCCATTAGTTTCCATTAGGGTTTCCAGTCTTTTCGGGGCATTATTTTGCCTTATTTTACTGTAAAAAAGTTTTTTTTTTTCGAGTTTCTCGATGATTTTTCAGTAATAAAAAAACGTCAGAAAACGCGAAATGAAAAATAAATTAACATACCAAGTATAGGAAAAAATATTATTAAAACGAATGTATTTTTTGAAGGAAGTAACCGTTGAAAATCCAATTGCACCATTCGAAAAAAGAGGAAAAATTCTTTCGAAAGCACAAATAAAAATTTGTTCGTTTTTTTTCACCGATATGAATCTAAAAATCCTAAAGGCGATTACAGGCACTATATAGAAGTATTCTATATGGCCGAAAACTATTGGAAACTTATTTTTTCATGGTTACCTAACAAAAAAAGTCCAGGGAAATCGATTTTCTGAAATTCGGGAACTAAGGGACACCCTACTGTGGAGGCACCCATAATACAACAATTTTATTTATGTATTCGTACGCTCCATTGAATTCTCAACAAATGTCTGTATGTACCAAGTGTGTATGTGTGTGTGACATTAAATTTGTTGGTTGGGAACAATCATAATTATTAAACTGTGACAAATATCGAGATAAGGTTGGGCTTATTTTGTAAGATATGTGGGCCGAAAGAAGCGTCAAACGATTATTTAAGAATTCATTAATTAAAAAAAAATTAGTTCACAATTTCTATAAATTTTATCAAATTTTATTAAATTTTGCACTGTTTTAATTTTTTGTTGATCCAAAACTAAAAAAACTGGCAGTTGTTGAAAAAATACTATAAACATTGAAACAATTTATAAACTTTTATAAACTTATAATAGTTTCTTTAAACTTTTATTAATTTTCATTAGAGTCTCAAATCCAAATGTTTATATTCATTAATAGAAGTTACTATAAGTTTATAAAAGATTTTTAAAGTTCATAGTATTTTATAGCAAACGACAATTTACGATAGGGATTCCAGTAATTAAAGGGAGCAGATATGAGACCAAACCAAACAAATATAACTCAAGTTTAAAGAAATGGTAGTTTTAAAAAAATGAAGATCAATTCTAAAATTCAATAGATAAAGTTTTAAAAAGGTTTTAATTGTGTACAGCTGATAAGCGCTGCTAATGCTAAAAAAACATCGAAAAAATATGACAATATTAGATTTTTGTCGTTTTTCTAACGGTTTGTGTCATTTTACTCGCATTAAAGCCGTCGTAACCCCCATAATAAGTTATTTAGCTTTCAAGAGTACAAAATAACCTTTGATTTGGTTATATTAAGAACATTTTATGACAAGCAGGACCAAAGATATAGTAAAAAAACGTTTCTCGAAAAATCGAGAAAAAAAGATAAGTTTTTGCTTTCAGTTTTGTTCATTTGAAAAACATTAAACTCACTTTAATCCATATTCTTAGTTGTACAGTTTTGAAGAGCTGAAAATTTCCTTTAATTTGGTCAATTGAAAAACATTATAAGTCACACAGAACCGGAGATACTGCTGTATGAAGTTTCATGAAAAATCCATGTATGAAATCTAGTTCATCAATGGTTTACACATTTAACATTAAGTTTTTCGTAAATCTTTATATAGCTGTATCTCCGGTTTCATATGGAATATTTTTTAAGTAACCAAATTAAAGGTTGTTTTCTGCACTTTAAAGCTGTACAACTGTAAATATAGATTAAAGTGAGTTTAATATGTTTCAAATGAACAAACCCCCAAAAAGCATCAATATTAAATAGCGGCAATAATGGTTTGATGCAGTTTAAGAGAAGAGGACATTTCACTAGAGTAGGAGTTAGGATTTTCGTTTGAACGTTTTCATATTCAGTGGTTTACATACATTCGAACACTTACTACAGAATTTGGAGATATTTTTTGGCAAACCCATATGCTCTTCAAGCACACTGTAAGCAGGCGCGGTGGCAGCTGAATCTTCATTCATCCTTTTGTGTTGTGAAGACCACACGTTTTCTTTGTACAATCGAGAAATATTTTCGTTTCACAAGATGGGTAAAAGAAAGAATGATGACAAGGGTCATCGCAGAGATAAAAAACATCGACGTCATCGTCACAAGAAGCGACGTAAGTTCGTTTTTTGTCTGTTACAGATCTATTTACTACAATCAATCGAGCGCGTTTAGGTCAGCCGATTGAGAGGTTATGATGCTTATGCATAGCCAGGGGCTATCCGCAATTAAGCTGTGAACAAGAGCACCTTGAGCAGTTTCGCAAACGATCGGATTATTTGTACAGCCTGGGGCTATGGGATCCAAAGAAACCTACACTCAGCCGAAGGCTAAGTGTAAGCGGGCAGGCTTACGTGCCGCGGATTGTAGGTCAAGCGAATGATCTGCACAGCCTAGGGCTGTTTTGCACACAATGACGAATAGTAGAACATAACCTAACTGAACATCCATTTCACACAGGTCATGCGCCATCACCATCCTCAACTTCTTCGCCCAATAGCGAGTACCAGGGCTGTCGCCAGGTTTAGTGAACGATCTGGACGGCGTGACAGCCGCGAACGATCGACAAGACATCGCGCTAAGAAGGGCAGAACACGCTCTCGCGAGCGATCTTCTGAGCGTAGGCCTGGAAAAGATCACGACGCAAAGTCTGATAAGGCAAATGAGGATAAGGCAGAGGAAACATCCGATAGCCGATCATATAGCCGATCTTGAATCAAGGAAAGAGCAACAAGAGATCGAGTACGGACTCAATGATACAATTTTTGCGGAAATTAGCAAGGATTTTGGTCAACCCGGAGTTGACATGTTTGCTAGTCGCGCCAACGTCAAATTCCATAAATACGTATGTTATATATGTAATGTTTTTAGTCTAATTAATTAATATTGTATGCCTGTGTTATTATTCCTAGCTATAAATAGCTGACTTGTATGTTATGTTTTGTTATTATTGTCGAGCCTCTCGAGCAGCGAGACGAGAGCACGCGTATATTAAATAAAGTAAATATAATAACTCGGAATACTTGAACAGTCTTTGGCGATTTCCGTCAACTAGAACCTTCCCTGGCACAGCGATACTTAACAATTCAGAAGTGGGATTCTGATCAAGTATTCAAAAAGAGAGGACGAACCCCGAGAAGAAACCTGCTCCAAACGCAGTTTTCGGAGGAGCAGCGACTTTTGGTGCGTTCCAACGCGGATTAACGAACGAACAACCGAATTGGCGATCTTTCCAGCGATCTCAACGACCGAGTTCGTTGAACGGCTCAATGGGCAGAGGCCAAAGCTCGAGGCAAGCGTCAACGACCGACAGGCGTCCAGGGTCAGGAGCGAGCAGTGACATGAGTCTCGACGTGAGTGCGAACACGAGCTCAGGTCAAAATCACCGATACGAACCCCCACCACTGCGGGTGGACAACACGAGCGGAGAGTCACGAACGTTGGAAACGCTAGTGATTACGATGATCGAGGAAAATCGTCGCCGAGACCAACAGAGAGACGCGATGATGGAGCGATTATTCACGCAACTCAGTATGAACACGACGGCTCCGCGTGGAAATACAGCGCCAGCGGCCACACCGGAGGCACCGGCGCAGAGCTATCAAGTGATGCCGGACCTCACGAAAAATATAGAAAATTTCACGGGCGACGAATCACCTTCCGAGGCTAGAGAGTGGATCTCGAATATCGAGAGCATGCTGTTGCTTCATCATTGGCCCGAGGAATTTGCCTTGGAGACCGCGCGCATGCATTTGGTGCGAGGTGCGCGCGATTGGTTTTCGGCGCGTCGCCGTCTTGTGGATACATGGCTGAAGTTCAAAGAGGCCTTCCAAACGACGTACGTGCGTCAAGATTCGACGGTT